GTGGGGGGGGGTCTTCGACCTGAAAAATCAGGGGTTAGGATTTGCACCCGGTCGAAAGAAACCTTGCTATCGCAAGAGTAACTCCAGCTAGCTTCGCTAGCTTTCGTGATATAGTTATTATTTTCGTGAAATCTTTAGACGTTTCCTTAAACCTGCAACAAGGCTGCAAAACTCATTCTATGCCCTACTAAATACATCTAAATACTAAAGCCACTGGAGTGAGTGCACGTTCTTATTGGGAATCAACAAAATGTAAGGAGTTCTTGTCCGAGTAAGATGTAATCAGTCGAACATGTGGGGATGTGCCCCAAACAAAGTGGACCTCGTTATAAACACTTTTGGTTTCCAGCCACGTGTACGTTGTTTGTGTGTATTTTTCCGGGATTTCAGGCCAGCTCAATCCCGCATGGCACCTGCTGGTTCTTCTAGCGCTCGTCTGCTGCATCTGAAATCTACTTGTGGATCTTTGTCCAAACATGATGACATCATCAAGACCAAACTAACGAAAAAAAATAACAATACACCAAAGACTATCCAACCCAAGTCTCAACACACGGGACCTCCCACGGTCCTTCCACTCATTCTGTTAGACAAGTGGATGTCAAAGGTCACCGTATTTCCGCCTTAGACAAAGCCTGACCAAACCGTTTAAACATGTTTAAGCTTAAACTGTAAATCAATAGTGATTGTAAATAATCTCTTGCAAACATGAAAGTCCACAAACCATCACGAACCTCGGTTCGTACTCAGACTAGTATTGCACCTATTTGGTCTTTTGATATCTCCTTTCTCATTTCCAACATTTTCCAACCTCTTCGGTCGTTTGCCGAGCTCATCGACACCACAGCGCTCCCTCCAAGAAACTTTGGCACCTTCGCCGGTGTCCATGCGCAAGGTGGGCTTGGCTGGCACGGCTTTGCCACCATGTAGCGCTGAATTTGCCGGAAGCCAACCTGAGAAAACCACCAGAAGAGATGGAAAACGCTACATATGGTGAAAATCCTGAAAATGTAGATGCTCAACTCACTGCTGATAGCTTTCAAGGTTGTTTGACTATGTTTGACTCTCCTTTTCGAGCAAGCCCCATCCACATCACTTCACACTCAATCCGCATGATTTTGCGTCCTATTCCGAGTGTGAAGCATGCCTTGAAACCTTCGGTTTCAGCCTCCGTACATTGTCATTGACAATTTACGTTGAACACATTATTCAGTGTCAAGCAAACCATTGTAAGAACGCCAGGCCTTTGCAAATTCATCTGCTATGTGTTTGGCAGGTTGTTCTGTTCCGTCTTTCCAACCGTCGATGCGGCGAAGAATGGTCGGAAGTGAGAAAACATACTCACTTTGAATGCGCCCTTCCTTAGAATTGGGAGGCCGTGGCGGAAAATTTTGCCATACTGCACAGGGATGATTGGCAGTTTTTTGTCGCGCGTGCGTATCTCAGCTCTTGAAGTGTCCCATAACGAGCGGTTTTGGCTCCATAGTACCCCGTGCAGAAAACCACCATCATTTTGGCACAGCGAAACTTTTTCGTAGACGGTATGGCGAGGATCTGCCCAGGGCCTACGTCAGCCCCAACCATTTCTGTTGGCACACCTCTGTGGACAAGAGAAGCTTTGATAGTTTTCAATTTTTTCATGAACTCTTCATTTTTAAAGTTAGCCGAGAGCATCAAGTGCCGTCGAGTGCCACTTCCAGCACCTGTTTCCATCTTCAGGATCGATGACTCTATCAAACTCAGAAGGTCTTATTTGTCTAAAAGGAGCCAACGAGGAGCAAAGCCATCCATAACATTTACAGCACGCTGTACACAAGGCTCTGTGCGGACACCGGCACAGACATAGCAAAACTTTTGCGAATTTTCCGACTGCACGCTGCTCGATGACAATGGCACTTCCATATAGCGCTCCGAAAAAGGTGCTGCTACTTCTTTCCAGTCACTCCTCGACGGACTGTCGGTGATCGAGCACCATGCTACGCTTGCACCAACTCCAATCAGAATAAGCAGTGTAGACACTGTAGGCTTGTCCAGCAACGCATCGTCTTGCGTCACGTTGAAGACATTGCTTGTCCAGCAACGCATCGTCTTGCGTCACTTTGAAGACATTGCTGGAGCGCGCCTGGACCTTCGACAGCTGGACTCCACATGTGTCCGGAATGTCTTTATCCAAGTGTTTGGCAATTTCCACCTGTGGGCTTTTGCTCTGATGCAAGCACCAAGTAAATAAACATCGCACTTATTGTCTACCTTTTGCTTCCACACTCATCATCTTGACTGAATCTGCATGCATCTCGCGAAGTTGAGTCGAAGCATCTGTGTCATGCATTTTGAGCTTCTGAGGCAGGTCTGCTGCGTTGGCCAAGTCCTCAGGCGAGAGCTCGCCCAATTTTTCACACACGTTCTCTACCACGGGAACAGGACTGTCAGCGATCTCAATCACCTTCTGCAGCTCTGACGAATGCTTGGCCACGTCACCAGGAGAAAACTTATCTAACGAGTCACGAGCTATCAATTGAAGTGTTTCATCTGAGCAATTCAGCATCTTCAGCACATCTGAGGAGCGACTGGCCAATACTCTGCTGTCAACTTCTCCAGCCTCCCATGCTGAAACCAGTCCTACTAGAATGATCGGAAGTTACTAAACTTGCTTCTGTCAGAGGCTTCGGTCGGGCCGCTTCGCTGCGCTTCGGTCTAGCACTTTGGAAACCCGTCCCGTCGCCGGGCTGTGTTCGACGTCTCCACACTTGCCGGCACCAAGCGGCTGATGTTCAATGGAAATGGCAGTGGCAAAAAGTGACAAGTGCACCAATGTGCAACCCAGACTAATGTTATGGATGTCTGTCTGTTCGTTGCACGCTGAACTACTTGCTTCGCTTCACAAACATAACAAAATCTACGCGCGTGGACTTGCTCGTCGATCTGCAGGGATCTTCGTTCCATGACTTCTCATACTCAAGTTTGTTGAACACCTCCTTCAGTCAACACCCGCTGATCATTGTTGTTTCTGCAACATATCCAGACTTCATATTTTACAACACGTTCTCAAATCATGCTACAACGCGTTCTCAAACGCTCTCTCGTGCATCGGAGGGACAAGCGATGTCATAGAGGTGATCCTCCTCCTGGAGTGTTGCAACATGTCAAAAATAACTCTGACAATTGATTGCATGACTACCGCCAGTGGTAACAACATAATAGTAGCAACAGCCACAACAAAATCCACATACTAACACATGCATGGTCTAGGATCACAAAGATCTAAAATCTGTATAGTTCAACATGCCATATTCCAAACACCGACAACAACGGCTCTCGTTGGATCAGACCATGGCTCAAGCTGGACGCCATGCAGATGGTTTCGTCCAACCAAACGTAGCACCAGATGGTTTCATCATGTTTCATCCAATGTGCTTGATCTGCTGATCTCAGTCGCCGATGCGGGTGGAGCAAATGGTCCACACGTCCGAGGCATCGAACACAGCGTAGAACGTGTTCCAACCACAACATCAGCAACATATTCCCAGTCGCAATCGGAAAAGCCAAGTAACATTTTTTGGGGCAACAGTCGGGCAAATGGTGCTAGACTTCCCAAACAACATCAGACCATATCAAACCCTCAAGCCTTCATGGATTCCAAGAATTCTGGTCCTCAGGAGTTTGCAGGCTTATCAGTGTGTCTGCAACAAGAGCAAACAACCCATGTGTGATGCTCACCATTCCATGCCGTTCCTTTGGACAATAGTGTTTGCGGCCCATGGAGACCATCATATTATGACCGTCGTCAAACGTGTCGACAACTCTGTCCTCGCGAGCCCAAACAGAGGACACAAAGTTCTCCAGGACGCACCAAATCCTGAGGTGAAAAGTCTGGGATTATTTAAGGCCTCTATGTATAAGAATTCTCCTGAGCTTTTCTAGGCTGCCTGATTCAGCGCATGCTGAGAGTCGCTTGGTGGGGCCCGGTTCGGCGCGTTTCAAGCCAGCGCTCTGTGGCTCTCCGAGCGAATTCGAAGAGAACAGGAAGACGCATTGACGGGGAGAGAAAGCAGTGACCGGAAAACAAATGATTCCAATGAAAAGAAGGGAACTGTCCAAAACTGTCCTATTCTCTGCTCGTCAGCCATCTTCTTTTTTGGCGGGACAGGCTCATATATACATGGGACATGGTGAAACGGTTCAGATCACCATTCTATAATTAGGAACATCTGGTGTCACCATGGGAGATACCAAGTTAAATTTTCATGAAATGATAGCTATCACCAGTTGCCCAAACTCATAGTCTGAGTCTAGTTATGCTAATTAATTAGAAGGAATAGTGAATAATAGTGATAATGACTACAGTACCACAAGTGGCAGGGTCGCAAGACGTCATAGTTCAGTGATGTCAAGAAGCGAACAGCAACAACAACAACAAGAACAAGAACAAGAACAACAACAACAACACAGGATTCAACCGGGGAAAGGTCGCTTTGTCCCATTCAATCATTGCGGAGTGGCAAGGAAAACAACAACGATTCAAGCACCAGTCTTCACGACAACCAAAGAACATCGTTGACAGTCACAAATGAAGCCAACAGCAACCCTGCATCTACTTCCCCCCATGCAATACCATGAAATGTAGGAAGAACAGTGAGAGACACTTCAAACACCTCTTGACTGATGCCAATAACTGGCAGGAAAAAAGGCGCTCACGTTGTACGGAACACGAGCGACCAAAATCCAAGTGGCTCCCGTTCTATCTATAGCGACCTACCACAGCGACCCACCCCAACAAGAGCGCATCTAGCCACGCACCAACGCGGACGTGCACTTTGGCGCTCCTGTCGAAGGTGGTGACTTCGGAATCCAGGAGCGCCACAGTTCCTTGGCACCTGCCGGCGGCGTGTTCCCACATTGGGTAAGGGGAATGAATTGGGTGGTCACCAAATGATAGGTTGATCGTCAGTAGACCCAACCGTGGCTGAAAACCCAGGGACAACACATTGAAAGCTTTGTTCCCAAAAAAGCTCTCCGATCAGGCCTGTTGGTTCCTGTTTCATGCGAGGAGCCCTTCACCTACATATATATTTATTCTTGTGGTGAAACCCTTTGCCCTGTGTGGTTGGGTTGGAGCACCTGCCCACACAGCAAAGAATACTGAAGGATCCCCACATTACGCATCGCTTGCTGATCATCCCATCAACCACCAGGTCACGACGAGCAGTGGGTGTGAACCTCGAATCTCTCTACGAACTTCTAAGAGTTTTGTGTTTTCTGGAGCGCCGGGGCGAGCGCGAAATGGATTGGACGAAGGGCCCCAGAAACCAATATCTGCCTCCATTCTTTCAAAGACCTTGCCAATCTTATCTTCCTGGCAAGTCCTCAGTGCATCCCCAAAGCTATCTTCCAGCCCAATCCACCAAACCCGCAACAAACTCAAAGGCGAGACCTGGAACCGCTTGTGGGGAGGATCAATGACACAAGCTGCACCCTACTTGGCCCTAACAAACAGATCTAAACCATTGAAACCCGAACCAGCACCGCTTCGCTTCCCACACCGCTTCGCTTCCCGGCGGCTCTGCTGTGCCTGGGGCTTAGGATGGCCTTCACGAAGGGCGTCTCGCGGAGCTGTCCGCTCAAGCCGCTCAAGTCGTGCTGGTTGTTTGCGAAGGTGCAAATCCTCGGCGCGACGAACGTGGCTGTCTTGTGCGCAAATCCTCGGTTCAAATCCTTGCGCGTGCCGACACGGCGCCGGAGGTATCCGGAGGTGGCATCGGGTCGCACCGAAGGACGACGTGGATGGCACGGTAAGACGGTGGTGGTCGGGCTTGTGGTCCGTGTCACGGTGGCAGCAATTGCAGAGGGTGGAGGAGAATGAAGGAACATCGGTGGCTGAGGCTCAGCGCAGATGAGCCAACTGCAAGGCTTGGTGGTGGATGGTGGTGGTAGTGTACGCTTAGCTGTCAGTGGAGGGTGGGAATTGGCTCTGCGGCAGGACTTCTGATGTTCCACCAATAAGAAATGTGCTTAGCAATTGGCAGCGTCGAGCAAGTTGGAGAATAAGCCGATCCATCCAAATGCATAAATAGCCAGATTCAACCAACATGGAAATCATTAGAACTCTGTATTATGTGTAAGCTATGTGTAAGCTCAAGTTTGAGCCGTGGTGCTCGAAAGGCACCAAAACAGCAATATGACACAACTGTAATTCCTTTTGTGGAATCCCAAATGAACTGAGCTACTTCTGACTTCTGAACCAAAACGTTCTCTGCAATGTTCTGCTTTCTTCTCATCCTGTCTTCTGCCATGGCTCCAATAAGGCGCGTCCTTCTCCAGGAGTCTCTGCTGCGTGTGGAACTCCAAGAGCGAGACAGTCTGGAAGAAGGGCGTCCCCCACCAATGACTCACAAACCAAGTGGGTGGCCTCAGTAATTTGTGATGTATGTCATTGCGCAGTGTCTGCATGTCAAGAGGACTCTCTCCTCCCGCTGAAACCTAGACCTATCAAAGGCCTGACCGGCTGGCCCTCTCCAGACTCAGTTCAAAAACCTGCCATTTTGTTGTACGTGCAGATGTCGTGCCGCATGCAACCAACATGCAGAAAAGACACAGCGCAACTGTATCGAACCGCTCGCAATGTCTATCTTTTCGTCAATTGTGGAATCCGCTGAGCCCCTCACTGAGGGCCTGCAGACACCAGCTCCACCCACGAGCACTTGAAAGGAAGCCTCGGTGAAGCCCATTGGTGTTTCGGGCCAATGATTGGGGTGGCGGAAGCCTTCAAAAACAGCGTCGCTGCTTCAGTGACAGTCACAGTCCTGGTGACCCACCCAACAGTTGGACGACACACCAAAACCGCCTGCCGCCTGCCGGCAAGGCCCCGTCTTTTCCGGTCCATGGAGCGTGAAGGGCTTCACGAAGTGATCGTTGATGACATAGAGGTTTACGGCAGGCCTGTGGGTGGGAGACCCGCCGAGAAGAGGAAACCTTCAATGCACAAAGAAGACAAACACATGAGCGGTGTTCAAAACCTCCTTATAAATTACTAGGAAATTATAAACTCTTGCGCGAAAACCTTGCGCGATGCTTACGCGACCACAGTGGGAGCTTGCGCAGGGGCTTATCTTCAACATTTGCTTGAGCGAGCTTGCACTGAAATAGGTTTTGCTATGTTTGATGATTTTTGTGTGTTTTTGCTTGCGCGGTGTATGCCCGGGCTAGCTGGAACATAGAAGTTCCTCGCAAACGATACATGTGAATGAGACCGTTCTATTCGGACGTTCCGAGCAGAATCACTTGGCAAACATGAGGAAGGCGAAGTGGAGCTACGAGGTACAAAGACAACCAAGCTCTCACAGTTTTGAAGATAGATGCGTTAGTTAGTGAGCTTTTCTTTGGAGTCCCGTTCTTCGACGTTCTTTGTGGGAAGTGGGTGGGCTATAGGGCACTTGCGGCTTGCGCAAACCTTGCCCGAAAATGTACGTATGTCCAAATTCTGAACCAAACAGTGTACAACTGATCACAATGTATTTAAGTCATAATTATATAATGTCCAATGTCTGTACTAATGTCTGTCATACAAGGTTGGTCCAATGATAAGGGTTCCTATCAGAGAGATCCGGCTATTATTTTTTGATGGGACATCAAGACGCAAACTCATCACAAATACATGCATGTTTACAATTATTGTATGTTCAATTCGGATTCCTAGAGTGACCAACGATGGCAAAAGCAAATGTTCGGCTGGAGTTGGCTTATGCACTCTCACCACTACAATATTTTTTCAAGGAACATAGCATATCATCCACTACCACAGCTGCAAGTACCAGTTGAACAACTGTGGAATCTGGAAGCCCAACATTTCTGCATCAGCCCGTCTAAAGGTGTTGCCAGCTAGAGATGAGGCTAGCTCTCTCCGTCTCTGTCTCTGTCTCTCTCTCTGTCATTGCTAGGACTATAGCCTACCGGGCGGATATTTCAACAACTGAATGAAACACCACAGCCAGCTATGAGCCGTCGACCAACAGGTGAGGAATCTGTTTAGTTGGCTTGAGTTTGTTGCGTATATATTGCTTGTATAGTATAGTCACGCATAGTCCAATTTGTTCCAGGAAGACGTGTCTTCAATCCAAGTGACCATGCCACCGCGCTGCCTTTGTGATTTGTCAAATAGGAGGCCTGGCAGCAATGCTAATCACCACAAACCCTCAATGAAAAACGTAGCTCTCTCATCTAAAAGCCACTTATTTTCTCTGTGTGATCTCTTGCGCCAAACAAACTCCGGTCCCGCCACACGCAAAAAGAATCGGGGAATGACACACTTTAGAGGATCCATGCTTCGGATCCATCAGGATCCGCCGGTAGCGAGTAGCTTCCCTGGATGTGATCCCTCCAAGGAAAGGAGCCTTCACGATCTCCACAGACCAACCTTCTGCCCGATCCGGACCTGCCTCGCTGACCTCTTCGGCATAGACAGCCAAGTCTTGAAGGTCTTCCTGGGCTCCCAAAGAAGCAGGGTCGGTGTCTAATCATGAGCCTTCCGCTGCTGGAGTTGGCAACCAAGGTCAACTCTGCCCCGTTCAGCACAAGGAAACAAGAACTTCAAAGAACAAAGGAAGCCCCGCAGCTCTTTTGAAAGTTCTGCGTCACCGTTGCTCCAACCCTGTTTCTGTGCGACTGAAAAAAGCAATGAACTGCATCCCGCCCTCCAACACTTCACCACTTGCGACGTCCCAAAGCCTCCTTCTACGCCGTTGGAGGCTGCGAACGGGGACCTCGTTTTTTGGAACAAGTGAATCTAAGGCCAGGAGCCCCTATAATAGCTTCTTGTTCCGTTCGTAGCAATGCCAGGAGCCCCGTTCGTAGCGTCCGATCGCTCCTAGTAAGGCCAGGAGCCCCTAGTCTGAAACTGGCCAAGGCTCCAGAAGGACACCCCGCTCCGCGCAGTCGGCGATCTCGGAGCTCCGCTGCTCGAAGCTCTTCGGAACGCCCAGCTTGCCGCTCCTCAGCTCGACGGATGGCAGCTGGACCAGCTCGACGGATGAGATGAGAAGAACTGAAGAAATGAAATTCAATGAAATTGTTTCATGGAAACCTCATGAAATTCAATGACATGTCCCTGCAAAATGGGGCAACATGGGGCAACCAAACAAATCCAAAAGCATCCAACATCAACCAATCAGCCACCAACATCCTCCATTTTGTTATACTCCACTTTCCCAACCAAAGGCACAAATGAAACCCGTCGGACCAAGCGTCCAAGGAATCCCCTCCACTTCTCCGAGGCTTCGCGGCGCCGCCTTTTGCGCTGCCGCCGCCTTCGGCCGTAGGGCCTTGGCAGCGTCCGCGCCGCTGCCGGCGGCCTGCGGGTGGTAGCAGTCTTAGTGACATCATGTGATATATACATTTATAACCTCATACCATTATAAACCAAGACATAAGCCAATATTCTAGCCATTGCCAATGTCGAGTTGTCTTACTTTATGTAATTAGTGGCCCAGAACTATGTCTAGAACAAATACCGATCTTGAATATACAGTAATTGCGAATGATGGGCTAGCCCTCGCTAAGCAGCCTCAAGCAGTTCTCTTCCGCAAAGAAACACAATGACCAGCGGAAGCGAACGCCGGAAAAAAAATCTGTCACTGCTGATCGTTTCTTTGACAACGAAGGCCTTCAAGGCCCATTCTCTCCTTAAATTGTTCAAGGGGTGGGAGCCCTTCCAACAAAAGATCTTGTTGTAGTCCGGACAAAACATGACACCCCAAGGCTCTCTAGCGGCCTCCCACTGAACCAAGTGAACACCCTAAGCCAAACACCATCAAACACCATCAAACACCTGTACCATCCTTTTCCTCTCTTTCGATGCCTTGGCTTTGGCTGCCTTGGCCGTCTTGGGCATGGCCCGGAATTCTCCACGTCGCTAGGCCAGCGCTAAGCCAAGTGCTTCGGCGCCCGAGTGAATGGATGGTACAGTGGATATACTGTACGCTCCAGTATCAATGAAACATAGGACATAGGAAGCAACTTTCTGGCGGTTTTCCGGATGTGATGGACCATGTCTATGCTTTTTGTCTTCCGTTTTCAAACGCACTAAGGTCGGGATCGACAAGAGTAGACCTTCAAGGATCGGTTGAGCTAAACAACAAGTTGCCATCCACTAGAACCCATATACAAATCTGGCAATCTGTGACAGATGTGGCATGTGATATCTCTATTTAAACAGATTGCCACATCTATTTGGGATTGTTGGGAGTGCTTGTCCTTGCTAGAGAACGAACCATGATGCTCGACTGGAATGAAGGGGGTTCTGCAATCAACTTTAGCCTCACACATTGTTACATTGACCGACAACAACGTTCACGACCTCAGGTGCTCAAGGAGTTTCCATCAACAAACAGTGAAGTTACATGAGAGCCATAAATTCCGGAGACACATTTTTTTAACGGGACCGAAACATATTGTCAACCAGGTGCAAAATCAATTCAACTGACATCTGCAAAACCACACCTATTAATCGTTCTTTAAAACATCAACATATATAATTATACGATATAATAAGGAAACTGACAACATCACCACTGCTAGTGCAAGACCACCAACAAACAACCGGATCAACCGCAAGTCTTGGCGTTGACCCCTCACGTTGATTTTAAACCAACTCACGTTGACTCAGTGCCTGTGCCTGGCCTGGTTGGTCGCTGCTTCTTCACCCCCCCAATGGCGCCCGGGCGGATTCGATATTGGCAATCCCTTCGTCTTCCAAGCGAGTTGACAGGTTCACGGCCACCTGCGGATCAGCCGCTTCTTCAGAAGAATCGGCAGCTACAAGTATCACACAAACAAGAAGGGACCCACTTTTGATGGGTCACCACGCCATGTGCCATGCAAAACTAGAACATGCTCAAGTCAGCAGTGCCGATGATGTACAGAAGCAACAGGAACTCAGTTGATTCTCGACTTTCAATTTCCAGGTCTTCCTGTCAGGATGGAGTGATGATCCTGTCCAATCGAACAAAAGGACTCCAGGACATACTACGTAAGTGTGTATATTGTAACTTAATTTCATTGGACTTTCACTGTGTGGAGGAACATGCAGGAACTACACTGTTTCTTTTCATGCCTTCCAATTGGCAATGTCCATTCTGCCACTTGGTCTCACTTGTTCTTCTGTCCTTTTCCGCGCAGCCGCGGGTTGGACCGAGCCTTGATGGCTTCTCCGAGGCCCGAGACCTGGACCGATGGCCACCAGCACCGAGCCACCCGAGGAGGTGCACGGGAGCAGATGGGGAAGATTTCTCAAGACGCCCGGTGGCAACAAGGCGGTGGAAAAAACGGTGTGTCTCTTGTGCAATTATGTCGATTTTTGTGTCTAATCAGCAAGCACAAAGAGCATTTGATGAGATTGCATGTTCCTTCATAAAGCCATCGTCGATCGTCCGCCTGCATTTGCGTGTGCGTGTGCGTGCCTGGGTGTGTGTGAAACCTTTGGAATCACAAGGTGTTAATCCGCTGATTTGTTTACTGATGAGCAGGGGGCTCTCGGAGCCTGCATGAGACTAGAGCCAACGAAGACGCTCACGTGCCGTTGACCGCACCTGGGCATCTAAGCGCAGCTGGTGGGTCCTATGTTGTTGGTCCCTGCTTTGAACTCGAAAAAGAACTCCAGCCATTGCACCAGTTTTGCATTCTGCAGGTGCGAGCGATTTCCGTCATCTCGCCCTGTCGTCGCTTTGATACCTCGTGGATTTGACCTTTGGCCTCCTAATCACCAGCGGCTAGCGATGATCACACCCCCTTACATGACTTTCTCCTGATTATGGTTACCTAGGTTGCCGTGTGGCGAGTGGCATTCAATTCAGTCCGCATTATCTCGAGTGTGCGTGTGCGCCCTCCCTGTAGTTCAGGTCATGTCCCCATGCTATCTCGGTCGGCCTGGAGCTCATCCACTGGCTTTCTAGCCGGCAGGTCCTGAACACAAAGCAAAAAGGGGTGACCTACATGACCATAGACATCCCTAGACCATCCCCCAACTGTCACAACAACCTGTTAGAGCAAAATCTTGTTCCCCGCTGTGGGATGCTATGTTGGCTTGGGGAAGGGTCATTTACCGACCTGGGGATCCAAAATTATTCAAAGGCTGACATAGATAATAAGCAACGACACGACCTGGCAGCAGCGTGGTTTTATGCCAAAAGCTGCAGGATGATGATGGATGATGGTCCTATAGCCTATAGCATCAAATTGATGAACCTGATGGCCACCAAGGTTGGCTGGTCCACGTTTCGCACGGAATGAGGCACCCCATCACAAGACTCATTGCACACCGACATCAAGACAGAGGAGGTAAAATGATCCCGCAAAAAAAAAGAAGTGCCAAACAATGGTGTGGAAAACAAAAAACTCTGACTTGGCAATTACATCCATCGTTACAGGCAGGATGGTACAGGGTTTCCATGGAGTTCTCTCCCAGAACTCATGGCTGCACACGAAACGGCGTTTTCGCTCATGAATCCTGTCCTCCTTGGCATCAGCGCCCTGAAGAAAGACGCGCGCAGCGCGGAGGAAGAAGCCCAAATCCTTCTTGGTGCTGACCTGGGAAGACGGAGTAACAAGAAGCTACTAGTAACAAGTGCCACGCTAGTAGTAACAGGTGCCTTACTAGTAGTA